AAGATGAAATAAATACCCACTATGTTACTGCCATCTATTTACACAACTTTTTCTTGAAATAAATAGCTTGCTACTGGATGGGGGGAAAATGTGTATTTTGTGTTGACAGGTGAGCTCTGAATGCCACCTTGAGCATAATTTTGACTTCTCTAGTCCCAGTTTTCCTTTCTTTTCAGGTTGTCATTCAGCCCTCCTCACTTTGCTTGAGCAAAACTTTTTTTTTGAAAGTAGAGAAGTGCTGAGAGTTAAAAACATAGACTAGGGTTTAAGAGTGGCTGGAATATATCATCATAAACATAGTAAGTTCCGTTGGAGCAGGGGTTATGATTCGTTCATTGTTTTACTCCAGTTCCTGAATGATTGCTCAACACAGTCAGCAGGCAAGAACTACCTTTTAAATACATGGTTTTCATCAATTTTTGTTATCATTATTTTCTTTTTTCTTTCTTTTTTAAAAATATTTTCTTGATTTTGATATTTCTTTATCATATATGACTTTTTAAACATTTACATTCTTAGGTCACAAGACTGCTCTTTAGACTCTTTATGTGAAGTTGTTTTTGACAATAGAGGGTTGCTTTCTTGTGGGAGACCAAGAGGGGAAAGGTAGATCATGCTTTTCGATATGGGCTTACTCACGCCCACTTCTGGTCTGATTCCTGTAAAAGTTTGAGGCGAGAGTAAACTTGGACAATAGAACTAGTCTTGGAGGATATAGCAAATCACTCTGCAACAAATTATATAACTGTGCTCTCTTCCTTATTGCCATTATTCTTTAAAACCCTGGGGACAAAATACAGTACTACCTCTCCATTGACCTGAAAATGCTCTTCTCAAACCACTTCAGTGTATTTTGAAAAACGCAGGTCAGATCATGTTATTGCTTCTCTTGAAAACTTGGAATTGGTACACCCCAACTTATAAAACAAAATGTGCATTTCTTGGCATAGCGTCTAAAGTCCCCCACAAGTAGTCCTGAACTCTCTCCAGCTTCATCTGCTTTATCATTCGTCTGCAAGAAACATATTCCAGGCACACAAGATTTTGATATTGTACCATTTGCTTTTTTTGTGTTTGTGTTGAATGTACCCTCAGCCCATAATGACTCCCTTGTTCGTTATTCCCTCTGTGTCTTTGTCCCGATTTTATTCTTATGAGGACACAAGTCATTTGATTAGTGCCCTTACTAATTTAGTATGAGCTCATCTTAACTTGATTACATCCATAAAGACCTTTCCAAACAAGGTCATATTTGTAGGTATAGGAATTAGGACTAGAACCATACGTAATATATGGGTTTATAAATTTTAGAGAAATCTCTTTTGCTTGTCAGCTTTCAAGGGAATAATTCAGACTTTGACTATTGCTTTCTGCTCTTCATTAGTAGTTCCAATAATAAGGCCTAGTTTCCATTCTAACCAGGCAGATTTTAGCATCATAGAATTTTAAAATCCAAAAACCTCCACTTGTAATTTTGTTTAAAATTTTACAGTAAAAAAAGGTAGGCCATCTTATTTTCTTGTGCTTAAAGTCATAGTGGGCAAATAATACATGGTCCCCTGAGGCCAGATGTGGTAGTGTTTCCTTACTCTCAACAAAAGCAGACAAACAAGATTGTTTTGATTAAAATGCATTTCTCTGAAATGGTCAGTATTTTAAGGCAAACAGCCCAGGGCTGGTTGTTTATTGAAGAGTTGCCCTCAGTCATATGGAGACTGTACCATTTGATATTATACCATTTGCTTTTTTGTGTGTTTGTGAGTTATCCTCAGTAAAGCCCCAGGAACTTTATTCAGGGCTCACAGAAGTTCCATAGTAAGTGAGGGTTAGATGTTGAAGTGACTGTGAATGAAAATATATTTGTCACGTGACTGCTACTACTAACTCAAGCCCTGTTAGTGTGGTAGGGAAAGGAGCTGGCGGAGTGCTGGGAATCTCCCTGGATTATCTCCTTTAATCTTCACAACATGCCCTATGATCTGCTAGGGAGACTTTCCCAAGGCTATAAAACTCGTGGGAGGCAGAGCTCAGATTTGATCCCAGGCCTGTCTTATTCTGAAACCCTCATTTAGTGGCCTTTGTCAGGTCTCTTTTTCCTTTACCCAACTGTGCAACTGTTAATTCCCTCTGCTAATATTAGAGATGATAAATGTCAAAATTATGGTTGGGTGTTAAAGAAAGTGGTCATATGAGAGAAGAATAGAGTTTTCCTTGTTTCTATAAAATACTTTTAAAACATTTGCGTCAAAAAATTGAATAATCTGACATATGTTCTTCTCCTGTACCTTTTATTTCCATCTTTTTTGATTGAAAAAGAACATGAAATTTTTAATAAAGTCTTATAATCATTATTAAGTTTGAATTATTCCTAGATGGGCTATCTTTGGTTTAACTGATATTTTGAAACATTCATCATAAGAATGGAACAACTTGTAAATTATAATGTTATTTTGGCAAAAATGTAATTATTGAGACAAAATAGAGTAAGAAAATATAAGGTAATTACATCTTTGTTGACTTTTTTCACTCACTTCTAATAACTTCAACCTGTGTATTTTGATTTCTGTTTGTTTCTTTGTTGTGCTGGGGATGGGACCCACAGCCTCATGCATTCTAGTTAGTGCCCTACACTGAGCTACAGGCCCAGTCCTTGAACTGTTTTAATACATAATTTCAGAGAGTGTTTTAATGGCCTTTTGTAATTTTAAATTCAGTGGTTTGAGTCACAGTCATCAGACTTTAGGTTGTGACAGAAAATGAACTTCAGGGAATAGTGCTTACTCAGGAATAGCTGGTTTCAAGTGCCAACAGGAGTCTGTGTCATTCCATTGCTCACCTGCTTTTCCTCCACGTTGACTTCATTTTCAAACAGGCGCTTACCTCGTGATGGCAAAAATAGCCACCAGCAATCCTGGGATTACCATTTACAAGCTGAGCAACTAAGTTTTGGGACTGGCTCCCATAGCTCAGCTCAGGTCATGTGGCCATGTCTCATTGCCAGATCTAGAACTTGGACTACCTCTGGACTGAGAGTGGAGGAAAAGCGCTTTCCAAAATAAACTTGCCATGCTGTTCTCAAAATTAGGAGAAAAGAATGCTGGGCATAAATTAGAACACAGGTTGTTGAAAGAAGGTACAATCAGAACTTTGTATTTTTTGCTGCTGGGATTTAAGAAAACAAATCTGCTGCACTAAAAGAGCATGTTCATTTTTAACTAACCACTGCCAGAAAAAGGAAAGAACCCAAAATGCAGTTTGTGATTGGGTACCAGACTTTGTATTGATTTTCTTTTAAAATTACGATATTCACACTCCTTCAAAGACTTTAGAGTCCCTACTGTGTGTCACCCCCTGTGTGAAGTGCTTTATGTGTTTTATTTATCTGTACAGGTACTTTGTGAGGTCAGCATTACTATATTCATTGTCCTTAATCAAAGGAAATGAAAGGTCAGAGTGTTTGGATTGAATCCAGATGCATCTAACTTCACTTACACAGTCTCTTACTTTTACAATTGTCTGTCCATCTGTTACCTGTCTCTCTTACATCCTCCTCTAGCAGTCCCTGTCTAAGCACCTGCACCTCGGTTCTGCTTCCTGAAGATGTCTCCATGCCTCCCTCCATTCCTGTTGCTCTGGCCTTCATTAGGGAGGGCCTGAACTCTTCTCATACATTCTCTTTGGCGTACCTGTCTCTAGTCTTAGCCCACCCCTGTTTTCCTTTGAGCAGCCCGGCTGAACTTTTAAGCAGTATGGATCTGATCTTAACAACGGTCTGTTTGCCTCGGCTTCTCCTTGCACTGAGATCGAGATATCCTGCCTCTGCTGCTTTCCGCCACCTCGCCACACTCCCCAGGCTCTTTTTGTGTCTCTTCCCCTGGTGCAGCAGTCGTACACTTGCCACGATCCTTAGTCTTCATAGTACATTCTTTATTCTCGTTCTCTCTTTAACTCTTACTTCTTCAGTTTTGTCTTTAAATGTCACTTTAAGTCCTCAGGGACTTCTTGCCTCTCCCACTCCTTCAATCTGGAAACCTGAGACTCCCTCACATCCTTTACTTTTTCTTTTTGCACTTTTGACAGTTTTTAGCTGCACATTTACATACAATTTATTAGTCTGATATTCCTCATTAAACCTTGGACTCCATGAATGCAAGGACTGTTTGTTAGTCACTGACTCTTTGGCATCTGCCACAGAGTCACAAATGGGTGATGATTGAACTCATCTGAATGTGCCGAGAGCAGTACAGTTTTCATTATTGCTTTTTCTATAGTTCTCTCACTCTGATATCATTTATTACTGAAGAATAAACCTGTATCTTCTTCTGAGTAGTTTTGTCCCAGTAGCTTTTGGTCTGCTTAGGAACAAGCTGTGCTTCCTAGCTATAATCTTTAGCACTTCAGATGCTGTGCAGTGATGCACTTGGTTTTCAGAACTTCTGTATCACAGCCAGACATAATAGGGGAAAATAATAATTCAGAATATATAACTTTTCTCAATGTGACCTGAGTGTGGGTGGCTGGAAGAGGGAGTGAGAAGGCTCTACTGACTTGTTCCACATGGTCCTCAGTGACACAGAAGCTTAAACACTCCTTTACTTCTGGTGTGCCATCCTCAGAACCCAGGCATCCAAATTTAGCCCTCTCTGCATGTCCTTGCAATTTCTGGCTGCCATCTGTGCCCAAACTGGCTTTGGAAAGAGAAGCTTTCTCTCCAATGATTTATTATTTAAAGCAGTCTTCCCAACCTTTCTCATGAAAACCAGCAGTACTTATAAGGCACCTTGGCATCCACATTGGAGGCCATCGCCCCTGATTCCTACATACCCCAGGTCTGAGGGCATCACTATCTTTCTTCTCTCTCTCTCTCTCTCTCTCTCTCTCTCTCTCTCTGTCACACACACACACACACACTCACACAGGTGTTGGCTGAAACTTACTTGTCCATGATCATCCCAGGTGGTGGAGGTAACCTAATTTCTCTCTCCCTTTTTAATCCACAGTTGGTCATGTTCAGAGTTTGACTTGAGTGACATTCGCCTGATAGTTTACCAGGACTGTGAGAGGAGAGGCAGACAAGTGTTGTTTGACTCTAAAGCTGTTCAAAAGATTGAAGAGATGGCAACTCAGGTATGAAATGCTGATTTGCTTTCACCTTTATCATTTGTGCTTTTAACTGCCTTGTTTTGCTTTTCTTTTAATTAAAAAAAAAATTGGGGGTGGGGTGGGGTCTTACTACATTGTCCAAGCTGGCCTTGAATTCCTGGGCTCAAGGGATCTCTCAGTCTCCTGAGTGTGCCTCCACTACAGATGTGTGCCTCTATGCCTGGCTTTTAACCACTTCATTGATCCATCACTTATTAATCCATGATTATCTTAAAAGTATATTGCATGCTACTCATGATTTAGAAAAAAACATAAGCAGACCCCTCTTCCCTAGGAAGCATGCACATGTCCATTATCAAACACACATGAAACTGTTAGTAGGTAATCATGACAAGAGTTGACAGTGTATTTAAATCTTCCTGGAAGTGAGTTTGCTGGTCAGTTTCCATCCAGTAGGATTTTTTTTATGTCAAGCATGTGCATCAAATGTAGGAAGAAGGCAGAACTCTGAACTGCAGAAAGCAATAAAGCATTTGCCTGAAGAGAAGTAATGTATCATTCTTTCCTGTGTTTCTCAGATATTTAAAGTATTGTATAGTATTAGGTTAAACAAATTTATATAGCTTTTTTAACATAAAGTGCCCATTTTCATCTACTAAAAGAGTGTTTTTCAACCATATTTGACCAAGGAAGATTTCATTCATTTAATTTTTTTTTTTTAATAGAGAGTGGTATTGGTGAGGTGGGGCAGGGCTTGGAGGGGCAGGGTGAGGCAGGTGAAGGGGGCTAGCTATGGGGACAAAAGAACAGTTCTTTACCCTTTTGAGCCAGAATAAGAAAGGTGAGAAGAGTCTGGTCCCCCTTGAGTCTTTGGCTGTCAGTCCAAGGTACTTCTAAATTATGATCCTTAGGCCTTTCATCTCTCTTTTCAGTATTTGTGCAGATGCTTACAGATTAAATACATCCCTTTGTACTCATCCCTTTCATGCTCAGTAGCTTGCTACCCATACTGAACAAATTCTGGCAGTTTGTAGAATGTCTGCCCTAAGTTAAAGAGCAGTTTATAGCTTGGTCTTTGTCTCATGGGGCCTAGGGGCCCTGCTTTTGATAACGATCACTTTTGCAGAAAGGAAGTGTTTGAAGGCAGTTTAGTAGGGTGGATTCCACAGCACTTCAGGTGGAATTGTACCAGGTAGCTAATCATTATAGAAGTTGTTGGGCTAGTTAGGTAGGTGGAGGAGCAGGTGAGATGTCTCTTGGTAATTCACTGTAGGTTTTAATTGTGGATTGGAATTAAAAGCTTCGGTGAGCCAGCATTTGACCCTTTATCGGTGGACAGGAGATGGCAACCCCTTTTTCCCTGAATACATCACAAAGATGGTTTAGTTGAGGACACACGTCCCATCACTAGGGCTGTTGATGATGGAGGGGAAAAATCCTCACTGGTTTTCAAGCGGACTGGAATTGTCAGAATAGCAGAGTAGTGATAACTCTGTAATCTGGAACATAGGCTTTCTTAGAAGCACTTGTTTAATCAAAAAAGCAGCTTAGGTTCAGGAACATTTGTAGCTTGCCCGAGACTACACAGAATCCAGCTGGTGCTCTGCTCACTACCAGGTGCTGTGTCCAATTATAGACTGTTGACTGTGTTGTACGCCAGCCAAAGGGTCCCACAGTCTGTGAAGCAGGTGGGACTTCCTGTCATTTTAGGCCCTCTGAGGGACTATGTTTCTGGCATAAGTAGCATTAACAGCAGTACAACTTCGAATGCCATCATTGCTGGAGTGATTGTTGTGGACCAGCACATTTTATGTTTTCCTTATATTTTTTTCCCATTTTCAGCCCCCCTCACCCCCACTTGGCAAGCACAAAATGTCATGAGTTTGTATAAAGCACATGACTGCAGGCATTTGCATTAGACCACCAGTGTGACTGTCACACTGAAGATTAGATAAGCTGCAGTTGCATTCATGGTTTTCCAAGCAAAAGCTGTATAAGGAAAAAAAAAAATAGTTCAGAATAGAAACTACTTCTCATAGATGCTGCAGGATGCTTCTGTAGGGAACGATAGCTTCTGGTGGAAGATGAAGTCAAAAATTAATGATGGTAGATCTTTATACCTTCATGTCACTATCATAAGAAATTAGCAGTGAACCCTGTTGAGGGAATATGGAGTAGATAATCCTCTGTCACCTCTAACCTTTAAAGACCATATTTCCATCACATGCTGTGTAATTAACAGTAGCTCCTGTTTCAGGGTTTGGGCTTCATCTTTCACAATTTCAACCTCGTGATTTTCTTTCCTGTTACCTTCAAAGAGGTACTAGAAGAGGTGTGTCATGAAAAACACAAGCCCAGCCTGTCCAAATTAATAGTTTTCTTAGTTCCATTTGCTTGTTTAAAATTTAAACTTAAATCACCATCTTTCTCCTCATCGTTTTTATAGTTTATGATTTTACATGATACTAAAGATTTTTTTAAGAATTGAAAACATTCGTTTTCATTTGATGAAATACAAAAGCTGGTAATTAAGGAGAATAATGTCTAAATTCACTAGTTTTTGTGTAGTACCTTCAGCACTTCCCCTTTCCAAATATTATAGGCTCTAAGGAATCATATTTTTGTCATAATTTTAAAGAAAAATTCTATGAGAGCTTCTGGTTTTGAATGCAGTGCAGGTTCCTGCACGGTTTGACAAAGGAATTCCCAGTGAAGAGCTTGTTGATGAAGCCTGATATACTTAGTATCCTTTACCTTGCTTGCCTCTCTTAACCCAGAAAACAGAGGATGTCCCTGTGAAAACGTCAGCCAAGTGCTGCCAAGGAAGTAGCAGTAGCAGCGGCAGCAGCAGCAGCAGCAGCAGCAGCAGCAGCAGCAGCAGCAGCAGCGGCATCTCTTCCCATAGTTCTTCTGGAGGATCTTTACAACACACCAAGGAGCAGCTTCCAAAGTACCAGGTAAAACATGCCTTCTGTAGGAACACCCCATGGGTTGAAGTAATTTACTGTAACTTCTCCTCAGGGGCTAATGCCTGCTGGAGGGTTCTACTTCAGGAATGTGAGAACAAGTATTCAACAGAGTGATCCTAAATGTTTCACATCAGTGTTGTTTTCACACTTTGTCTTTTATCTCTCTATAAAAATTGTAATCCAGCAGAGGTGATACAGCATAATACATACTGAATGAGGAAGAAATATTGCAAACGAGGTAAATTTTTTTGTTTTGTTTCCTTTGCTGTTATTATTATTCTGATCCAGAATAATAAACCTATGAACTCCTAAAGATTCTTTGAGTGTATATGGGCATCCTGAGAAGGTAGAACTTGCCAGTGAAAGAAGAAAGTCTTGTCTAGCAGAAGAAATAAATAGTAAGGCCAAACTTGAGAGTGAAGGTTTGAGGGCTGGTGGCATTCTTTTTTTAAAATTTGATTTATTTATTTGTTTTAGCTTTTGATGGACCTTTATTTTTTATTTATATGCAGTGCTGAGAATCGAACCCAGTGCCTCACGACATTTGAGGCAAGCGCTCTATCACTGAGCCACAACTCCAGCCAAGGTGTCATTCTTTTACACTGTGAGTTGTGTGTTTGAGGAGGTAGAGGATAGGAATGAGGGCCATAAAATGAGAAACATTGACTAATTAGATACAAAAGTAGAAATGTTTTGTAAATTTTGAATAGTAATAGCAGAAGGGCATTAATTGATGGGTGATGTACTTTCTCTTTTAAGCCCGTGTAGAATCTTGTCTTCTATGTTGCTGAAAAAGCAAAGCCAGGGTAATTACCAGCAGCCACAGTCCCATAGAACTGTATTAATTTCGTAGCCAGGACTTGGGCCATGCATTTGCCCTTATTGTTCAGTGCTTTGGGGGGGGTCTCAAGTAGTTTGTAATTTAAAAATTATAGAGTGAAATTTTCAGCTAGTTGATAATTACAATTTATATCCCAAGAAAAAAGCAAGATTATAAAATTAAGAAGGTTATTAGTAAATAAGGTGATAACCAGATGGTTTCTATCTGCATGTTGTTGGAAGAGGTTGATGTGAGCTCTAATCCAACAGAGGAACCTGGTTAATAAGACTGGTTGGTTAACTTTATCTTTCTACCTCTGCCATCTTGTGTAAGTAGGTTATATATGTGTGTCAGTGTGTGTATATATATGTATGTGTGCATTTGGAGTTTTAGTAAATGAAAAGAAACACGGGGGCATAGCTTAGTGGTAGAGCATCACCTAGTATGCACAAGGCCGCACATGTAATCTCCAGTGTTGCAAAAAGAAAAAGAAATGAGAACGATTCAGTGGAGAATGTTGAGGTTGATCCCCATGTTTTTCCTCAGATAGAAAGCACACTGTCAAAGAGTCTGACTGATGGGTTGGGGTGCAGGGAATGTTACTTTATTTCAAGCTATGCTAGGGTGCCTGTGGAACACTGGTTTGTTCAATATTTATTTCTGTCCTGTCCATCATTGTGTCCCCAAGACTTAGCATATGTACTTAAGGCTGCTATATCCCAAAGGATTCAGATGTAGGATTTTAGAGCCTGAGGAGAGGTCTGGGCCTAGAGATAAAAATGTAGCAGGTATTCCTATGTGCATAAAAATCAAAGTCAAAGAATGTTTGATTGAAAATGCAGGCAGCGAGCAGAAGTGCCCTCCAGGGAACAACCATGTTTAAGGGATGATTTCAGAAAGAAGAGATTGAAAAAGCAAAGTAGTAGTTTTAAGAAAACAAATTGGAAAGTGTCCATTAGATTTGACAGGAAGGTGAAAGTTATCCTTAGAGCAAATGAAATCATTGGAACATGAGAGGTGAAGTTAGGCTGTGCTGGTTAAAAAGCAAAGAGAGGGTTGGGGTGTAGCTTGTGCATAGCACCACCAAAAAATAAAAGTAAATGAGAATATAGTCCACCCTTTTGGATAACAAAAAGGCATGAGAAAAAAAATGGTTCGATGTTGGGAGAGTCAAATATTTTTGAAATATTTTTGTAAAATTTTAGAACACTTGGACCATCTGTTATCTTTTGTACCTGCACAAAACCCTGCCTGCACTAATTGACATTTTTGATCAAGTCTGTAAATTATTTGATTGAATAATAACTGAATTATATTTCTTCTCAGGATGAGTTCTTAGTACCAAGGGAAGATTTACCCTGTTTCTTCAATAATATAATCTAATTAGAATTTATAAATGGAAATAATGATAATCTTTTTCTCATAATAATGTTAAAAATGATTTCTAATGAACACTTGGGTCCTATAAACATAATATGCTTAAAGAAAGAAATCAAGAACATTAATAATAATTTGGGGGAAAACCCAGGCAATCAACATTACAGATTGTGATTGTAAGATGACCAACTCCAGGTTTAAGAAATAATTGTAGTTACCAGTAAAGAGGGACCCTGAGATTAATAAATCTTGTTTTCTTTTTTTTACTTCTGCACCATTGTATATTTTTTCCTTTTTTTCTTGAAGTTTTAAAAATGTCTTTATTTAGCACAGCATGATTATACATGATAGTGAATCATTGTCACATACTATATATGTATACAACATAACAGCATTGGTGCTATTGCATTGCATGTCACATAGTTCCACATACTGACTTTGACTTGGTTTCTTTTGTGTAGTACACAAGACCAGCTTCTGATGTCAACATGCTAGGGGAAATGATGTTTGGCTCAGTCGCAATGAGTTATAAAGGCTCCACCTTAAAGATACACTATATACGGTGAGTTTGAACTTCTTTTTCTACAGTTTTGAGAAATAGTATGGTGATACCGACTCCGTAATTTAAAAATGTACTTCTTCCCCCATCCATCCATCCATCCGTCTATTTATTTATTTTCCAGTTCTCCTCCGCAACTGATGATTAGTAAAGTTTTCTCTGCTAGAATGGGCAGCTTCTGTGGAAGTACAAATAAGTAAGTCATATTTTTGTGTGTGTCTTTTTCTAGATAGAGTAACTTTTTGTGGGCCATCAGACGTTTTGAAATGAGAAGCAAAATGAATCTAGATTAACAGAAGGGTTTTAAAGGGTTAGCAGTGTCCAGTAACATTGAGCAGGGGAAGGACTTTGACTTTCTTGGGTGTCCTTAAAGACAAAGCAGCATCTTTATTTTGGGTTGCCTTCAATCATCCACTACATTTCTACAGGCAGCTACCAAGTTTTAATTTTCTGGAAAATAGAAGGGGAAAAAAGGAGTAACTATATTACCAATTTAATGCCATTCCACAATATTATTTTGTCTTTAAAAGTATGTATTTCTGAAGGATTGAAGTACATAATGACTTTCTGGGATGATCACAATGTGGGGTAGGAGGGTTGTCTGTACTTGCTATCTATTCTGAGCAGTCAGTGTAGCCTTTGTGATTGCTAGGTATTTGAACCATGTAATCATTTGATTTGCCCCTCTTTTTGCACTTGTGCATAGACTAAAAATACTGAAATGTTTAACTTAAATTTTCATCACAGTGCATTTGTTTATATATTTTGAACTTTCAAACAGAAACATTTCATATGCTTGTTATATTTTGTTATATATTTAAAGGAAGTACTTAGTATAAATAAGGGACATTCCTAGATGTTAAATGAATAACCCTGGGAAATTAAAATTTTATTCCTCTGCATCTTTGGGTACCTCTGAGTAAAAATTTTGCTTTATCCTACAACAAAATAGTTTGAACACTTAACATTGGGCTACCATGACTAAAGCCAATGTGAGAATTGATGTTTATTTATTATGAGATATACTTTTTTTCATCCCTTTGAAATTACCTGAATGTTTGTCACACTACTGCCCTATAGTAAAATATTGAGCTCAGATTTCAGTAAAAATTATTTGGCTTCATTATGCTACATTATCCTCAAAGTCTTGATATTTATTTTCCTGTTAAAGAATACATTATTATAATAGGGGCTGGGGTTTTAACTCAGTGGTTGAGTGCTTGCCTAGTGTGCATGAGGCACTGGATTCCATTCTCAGTGCCATATATAAATAAATCAAAAGAATACAGTATTAAAATCTATTTCCCTCACATTTTTATGAGTAATTCTGACTTTTTAGAAGTTGTGAAATCAAACTCCTAAGAGAATCATAATTTCTGATGCATCTCACCCCTGAAAAAAGTTGCTGAATTATTCATAGATGTTAATCAAGAGTTAAAATTAATTTTATTTTGAGGGTTTATGTAAAACCCTTGAAATGAATAGCAACATCTTTAATGTCAGTTGCTAAAGCAGAAATGAATAGCAGTATACTAGGTGTCAGCCACTGAAGCAGAATTTAGAGTTTGTTGTCCTGTTATAGAATATGAAATTGTTAGGAATGCAATTATTTAGTTGTATGGATCTGGCTACTTCTAAAAAGCTTTTATTTTCCTTCAACAAATTCTCCTACACTTGCCAATTTAATTTCCTTTGGTAGATGTGAGACTATCAAATACAGTTGTATGCATTTGGGTGTCACTCAGCAGTTGTATATATTTGGGAGTCTACTAAAAAACAGCTTTTTATTAGCCTGTTGATGTTTTTCTCCTCTCTTTGCTTTCCTCTTCCTGGCTGGATTTAGCTTGCAAGACAGCTTTGAGTACATCAACCAAGATCCTCATGCAGGAAAACCGAACACGAATCAGCATACTTTGGGTCCTGGTCGTGCCGGAAGTAACCTAGGTAAAATGAGACACGCAAACAGATTTTCTCTCTGAATACCACTATTATGGGTGTGTTTTACTTTATTTGAGTTGGTTGTGTTGTGTTGTTTTGGTTTGGTTTTGCATTACTTTTAATCGGTGTTTATTTTTGTGTATGTGTGTGCTTTGTTTGCCGTCCTCTGTGTGTCTGTCTCCAGGTCTGCTGCAAGCATGCAGCAGCAAACTGCTGCAGGGGGCAGCTGAAGGAGGACCTCTCCGGCTCACCCGGAGTGCTTCTTTCTTTGCAGGTTTGTGTGGAATGCTGAGTACAGTGTGACCCACACACATTAATAAATCCTGTACTGGTTCTCAGAAAAAGTCCTATTTGTGCCTTCCTAGAAATTCAAGGGGCTCTTGTGATAAGAGACATAATTTAAAATGCAGCCAAATTCATGATTATTTGGAAAGTTCATCCCATGAACCTCTATAGTAAATGTCTCTGTTAATATCCCAGGGTAAGCTGATTTTGATCTGAAATGAGCCCTTAGGGTTTCTAAGACAATTCTTTTTTTCTGATTTTCCTGGGCCTCTTTTGCTGCTATGAACTGTTTCCCTTTGCTGTGGTGTTTTCTCTCCATTTGTACACTTGCATCCTTACCTGCATGGAGTTTCTTTAAAAGTCACTTTAATTAAAGAGCATGGAAGATTGATCAATCTCTCTCTCTCTCTGTGTCTCTCATTTAAGTGATATAAATGCAGTTTCTAGGTTCTTTACAGTTATAGTCATCGAGGTGTTCTAACATTTCACTGGCCTTGCTAGCTGAGGCTGTTCAATGTGTATTGTAGTCTTGGCATGATTAACAAGTGTGGGGGATCTTCATTACTAACGTTTAAGATTGTGAGTATGGCAAATGATATTTTTCATTCTGTTCTTCGTAGTCTGAAATATGCTAAACACTGTAGTTAACTGACATACTAATGAAACTGACACCCTCCCACCTACTTAGAGTGAGGATAACATGTTTATATACTCTCTTTAAAATTGTGAAAATAACATGTTTCAGAAAATAACTGGCAAGTACAACAATCAGGCAGGGCACTGGGCTTCTTGTACATTATAAAACTTACTGAGCAACATTTCATCTGCCTTCCAGCTCAGTAAGAGTACAACTCCGGCCAATCTAAAGTCTTCCTATAAGTCTTTAATACTTCAGATTTTCCAAAATTCTTGCCAAAATATGAGTTTTTCTAAGTAACGCAACAATAGTACTGTGTATGGGTGTATATGGAAAAGAAGTAGAGGAAGAAATATTTGAAAAGGAATATAAGTGTTTTCTGTCTGCCAAGAGAGTGGGTTATAAATAGAAACATTTTTTGAATTTATGAAATGGTTTTCAAGTATTTCTCTTCCCTAAGTTGCCTACAGTTACTACTGAAACTAATTATAAAGCATTTTGAAAATATAGTGCTATGTAAGTACTACTGTTAATGAAGAAAATAGCTAAAAATATTCACTTGAAAAATGATCATTGTATTATCTGCACAATTAGTTTATGATACAGGATATTTTAAAGAGTGGAATTCATTCAAAAAAGTTTATGTGCTTCAGTAGGATAAAGGCAGATACTTCTGTTTTCTTCTTTCTTTCATCATCTATGTATTTAATTTTGCTTTCTAGTTAATCTCTATAATAAACAGGCCAATCATCAATAGCAGTAGCCTACTTTGAAATGTAAAGATTACGGCAGTCATTTTTGAAATTTTTGTATCTTTGGATTCAAAACCTCAATAACATATTTTCCTTGTACCTTTATCTCAGCACACAGCACCCCAGTTGATATGCCAAGCAGAGGACAGAATGAAGACAGGGACAGTGGCATTGCTCGATCAGGTATTTCCTTTTATTGGTTTAACTAATGCAGTGAACTATCCATAAAGATTAAAAAAAAAAAAAAGTTACCCATTTTCTGTTTTTCCAACTTTTTAAGCCTCATCCTCTATTTGTTGTTTTGTTTTTTTTGTCCATGTTCTCATGTCCCAAGATTTGAAATTTTGATGTGTAACATCTGGGAATGATTATGCAACATAAACTAGTCTTATATCCAAATTCATATGAGACTAGTGTATGCTGAGAAATCTCTTCCCAGAGTGAAGTTTCCTTGAGTCAATAATACTGGGAATTTGTTTGCTGACTTCTGTGTATAGAACCAGAGGAGGGAAAGTGTCTGCGAAAATAAATCTTTGAACAACAGTGGAAGTGCCTGCCAACTGACCTGATCACCCACCCTTTCTTCTGTCTTAGAATACTGATCTAAGTTGTGTCTCAGGTACTTTTCTGTTCTTCCAGAAGTCCTAAACTTTACTTTTACTTTTTCTTTTTAACTAGCCCTGAACTTTCTAGTACTGCTTTTAGGATCCCATGGTTTCTGCTTTTGTACATGATGCTGCTTTTGACTTTTGGTTTGTGGTTCAGATCTGAGGTAGGTTCTATGTTAGAAGAGAAGTAATCCAGGGACTTAGGTGTGTGGGGTTTACCTGATGATTACACATCCTGTAGGCCTCCTCTAGGAGCACACTACTGGTTTCTCCTCTGACACATGGCTCCTTCGACCAAGAGGCCAATCAGCCAGCAGTCCCTGCACAGACTGGATCCAGACCTTGGGTGCCTTTCCTCCTGGCCTTTCATTCATTTGTGTTTCCACCTCTTGCTCTCAGACAGTGCCTCAAAAATCCTTGTTTCTTCCGTGTAATATCAGGGCCCTTCTCCCATTCTGTCCCGCTCTGCTCCCAAGTTGTTAAATGAAATGTGTTGTTACTGAATCTCCCTGTTTGGCATTTAATATTTATATATGAAAGAGATGATGGAGAGGGCTGCTAATGCTCCTGAGTGGCAGTTTGCTCCCCTTGCTGTCATTTATATATATGCATATGAATGTATATGTTTGTATTACACACACATATATAACATACATATATGTAATAAAGTATATATATATATATATATATTGTTTTATTAGTTATTAAAATTGATTCATATTGGTATTCATTATCTTCTCTGTGAAGTTGAGCTAATCACCTTTGGTCTGAAATGTAGCTCCCATTGATTAGACTTGTATAATTTTCACTTAAAATCTGAAAACGTAAAAGGCAATATGTGATATGCAAGTGAACTGTTTTTCTTTTGTCGTATTTAATGATAGTCATAGTAATTTCCTCATTTCTTGTGGGTCACTGTCAGCTGAACTCTGAGTTCCATCAGTTACTCAAAAGATTCTGAGTGTGCACTGAAAAACCCTAGTGTCATAGTGGCCCTCAGCCCAATGCCGTTCTCGGTCCCCTGTGATAGGATTGGCACTGGACCAAATTTGCTGTGGTTGAATTCCAAAGCAGAAAGGTGAGAGCTTTTCACCTGTCTATGGGGGAAGGAGCATGAGTAATGTTCCACCAGGGCCCCTTCTGAATGCTCATGTCACGGGATTTCTGTCCTGTTGTAACCTTATTTTACTTTTTATACCCCTTGTTCCAGAAAAGATTCAGAGATTTTTAGGGAACTAATACCAGCAGAAACATTATTAGAAGAAAGTTTGGATTTTCCTAGGTAACTTCAGTTTATAATATAATTGGTAAAATTAGTTCATATTGTACGAATCTAAATCGCAAGTTGTTTGATATTCTTTAGATTCTATATTGCTCTAAAACTACTTTTCCAGGCCTTTTGAGAAGCAGGAAAATTGAGTTCACATTAAAGTACAAGTCCATGGCAGCCAGAGCCAAATATTTTCTTGTAGAGGGGTTTGGGACTAACCAGATCTGGGAACTGGGGACAGTATGATACAAAGGTTAATTTTGATAATGAAAGAAGACTGGCTCTGTTTGGTAGTTTGGCAATCTGTATTTCCAATCTCTGCTTCTCCTGTTGAGAGGACGGGGTCAAAGGGGATGGAAAGAACTGCCAGTGCCCCTGAGAGGGGTTTTGCTCCCCTGCCTGTCCTGGTAGATGTGCTCACCTTTAGGTTCACACCTGGGAACTGCTCTGATATCCCTGAGTCTTACATAGACTAGTGTGAGCTTCACATCTTTGGTGGGATTAAGAGCTCTTTTATCTTCTTAGTGTAATCCATTCTCTACTCCTTATTTCCCACCTTAAATTGTGGAGGAACCAAGATCTTGGTTCTAAAACAGAATAGGAGCTCCAAATATTAGAATTAAATTAGCAGAAGTAGTAGAGAAAGTAAGATGGTGTTTATTGTCTTTTAATTCTGTAATTCTTAACTTCTGTCTAAAGAGTAGAGAGATAGGAAAAGTGTTGTTGTTGTTATTGTTATTTGGTACTGAGATTGAATACAGGGGTGCTCAACCGCTGAGCTACATCCCCAGAGTTTTATATTTTATTTAGATATAGGGTCTTGCTGAGTTGGTTAGTGCCTTGCTAAATTGCTGAGGCTGGCTTTGAACTTGCAGTCCTCCTGCCTCAGCCTCCAAGCCGCTGAGATTACAAGCATGCACCACCGCACCCAGCAGGAAAGTTTTTAAGGTAGATTTTATTGTTAAAATAGTTATAGATTTACAGCAAAATTTGGAAGATTTTTTTCACAGAGTTCTCTTATAACTCATCCTCAGTCTGCCCTGTTAATAACATCTTAATATTAGTGTATGAATTATGACAATGAATGAACCAATATTAATATTAGTGAAGCATAACCATTAGCCAAAGACCATAGTTTAGTTATTTCCTTGGTTTTTACTTAATTCTCTTCTATTCCAGGACCACATTACACTTGTTGGTCAGGTCTCTTCAGGCTTATTTAGCCGTGGTAGGTTCTCAGACTTACTTTGTTTTTGCTAATCATGACAGTCTTGAGTACTGGCTAGTTATTGTGTAGAATGCCCCACTATGAGAATGTTGGAAGTTTTCCTCATGATGAAGCTGAGGTTGTGAGTCCAGGGAAGGAAGACCATAGGGGTAAAGTGCTATTTTCATCACATCAGGTCAAGGCTATCTACTGTCACTGTGCCTTGTGACCATTGACACTGGCCTTGTTTACCTGGCCAACGTGATATTTGTCAGGTTTCTCCACTGCAGAGTGACTGTTTCCCCCTCTCCATATTCTGCTTTGGTAAGACGTCACTATCCACCTATGGAGTGGGGAATTGTGGTCCTCTTCCTCGAGAGCAGAGGCTCTCCATAAATTAGTTGGGATCCTTCTGCATGGGAGAAATGTTTAATCTTCCCATTTATTTGTTTATTTGGTTATTATATCAATATGAACTCCAGGATATTTATTTTTTTACTTTGGATTATAATCTAATAGTACTTCATTTAAAAAAAATTGTTGTAGCTCAAATCATCCCAGCTTTGGCTATTGGGAGCTCTTTTTCTTATCTCCTATGCTCCTTTTATATACCCCCATTTATGTGGGGGGTGCTAGTTTGAGCACTCTTACATTCTGTGCTACAAAATGCCATACACATACACACACACACACACACACACACACACACACACACACACACACACACATAGAGAGAGAGAGAGTCATCTTCTGTATTTTTTTTTGCCCAAGTCCCAGAGTTAGTTGTTTCCTCATTCATAGAATGTTTGTTTCTTGGGGTGTAAAGGGGAAATACCTTTTCATTGTATTTTCTTTTGGATATTTTGAATGTATCTTCTGTGTAAAGATAAATTTTAAGAGATTATTTTAGTGGCATAGTTAGTTATTTTAAGTAAGGCCTTGGAAGAAAAGAGAGGTGGATTTCTAGCATACTAAGCAGATTGCTGGCTCAGTGACTAACGGGACATGGGTTTTAGGGGAGGAGTAAAAGAGCAAGCATGACTCTTCAGTTTCTGACTTGAGAAGACAAGCAGAGGATAATGTGGTGACATTACCCAATGTAGGACAAGCCAGAAGCCCTTCAGGGAGACAGATAGTGAAATAATTTTTAGCTAGAAGTGTCCACAAGTTCTCCACTGGTGAGTAGCCTGCTGTAATTTAGAAATAGAAAACTGACTCAAAAGAGATGGGTCAGCTGAAATTCAGAAGACTTGGATCTGCGAGCAGCATGAGGTTCCAAGGGCTGGGATTGAGACAGCGTCATCGAGCCTTGTCATCTGCCCATAGTTCAGCTCTAGGCTTTCTTCATCAAATCATAGTAAGGAAAACGGTTTTCCCATTCTTTTTGTAGCTGCATTTCTTCAGTCTTTAAAAGTGGTAAAACAAATAGGTCGGTATGAAGAACATTTGTAGTATGTACTTTTCAAGTGACTCTACCAGATAAGAATACACATCATCAAAGTGTTCAGATAAAACTTGTGTTTCAGCTACTCTGCAGATACAGGATGAACTCTGCCCAACATTTGGTTTGGATCAAGACTGATGATGTCACATACACATACTGTAAGGCTGTGGAAAGGCTTTTTACTCACATAATGAGGGTTTTCTGGAGAGAGCAGGTGACTTCCCAAGTTGGCCAGAAAAGAGCTTGAGAGAACAGGGAAAAGAGACTAAACTTGGGTTTTCTTGGTGGTAAGACTGTGAGTGTTTCTTCATGTGGTTTAAACCTCCCTCTGGCACCAAAAGAGACAGCACCTGGGCTTTCCCATCAGTTTGCCGAGAGGGAGCAGAATGAGGCCGGGGGATGGGATGAAGCTTCAAAGCCATCAGCAATAGAATATCAAAAATGAAGTCAGATTCCTCACAGTGTAGGTCACCATGGAATAATGCACAATGATGTCCCATTTGTACCTGAGCCTCTTGCTGACTTAACTGATTCAGTGCTTAGTAAAGAGAGGAGCAGGAGTCAAAAGGACAACACTGCTTTTTATTTTTTCATTTTGTTTTTTGGTGCTAAGAATGCACTCTACCACTGAGTTTCATCCCCATGTCTAGGTATTATTTTTTGTGCAGGGGAAAGGCCCTACATGCTGTTGACCTTTGCACCTGTGCACATGGGCTAAAGCTTGAACTTCAGCATGAGTCTTGGTCGAATAACCTGGAATCTTTCTGTCACATAAGAAGATAGGAGGACTCTGAGGAGCTGCTAAGAGGGCATCTCCCACTCACTTCCCTGTCTCCCCTGGGAGGCTGCCATGAGACAATTTCTCTTCAACTCCACAGTTCTGATAGGGGACTTCTGCCCTGCCCTCTTCAAATAGAATTGCAGAATATAAAAGTACTTAGCTGCAGTTTAGAATGAGCTCCCAGCAATGAGTGTCCCCCAGCTTGCACTGCAAGCATTGATCCCTTTTGTGTTGTTACCATTTTGGGTGTGGGACAAGTATCTCTGGGAGCTGGTCCCTTTGGCTTAGTCCTTCCATCATTTGGTGATAAATATCCAGGTCTAAAAATGTCTGCTTGTGTCTTTACTGCTGAGGATCTGGGCCTTGACCTTGCTTTGCTTTGCTCATATTATATTTGTTTGATGTCCTGTAAGGTGTCTTGGACAGAACTTAGTTTCTTTATTTCTTTCCACTTCTTATATTTCAAGTTAGACCTTTGGCATTTTCCTGGAGTGAATATTTGCCATCTTCACTTTCGCAGGCTTGTTGGCTTTTTCTTTCACGTTAGCTTTTTCGGTTCTAAACTTGCATTCTTATATATCTGCTTAGGAAAAATTAGAATCAGAAAGTAATGAAAGTAGCAGTCAAACCCATAAGGGATCTAGAAATAAATCTAAAGAAAATGTGTGATATGTGATGGAGAAATTTTTTAAACTTTATTAAAAGACCTAATTGGGTGGAGTGAAGGATCACATTTTACAAATTAATCTATAAATTCAGTGTAATTTGAGTTAAAATCTCCTGTAAAGTCAGACTAAACTTCTACTTCATATGGAAGAACAAAGGACCAAGATTATATATTTTTCATAAGCTTTTGTAGGCACTTCATTCTTAGATCCCAGACTCTGGTTAATAGACAAAGTCAAAAAACTTGGTTAAATAAATGCAGAGAATGAATTGATCACCTAGGGTGGGCTAGAGTTTATGTCCCCGATAAGAAATTAAAATTTGAGATGTTTTGAAATCATGGTAGTGAGAACATTGTCTTTTTTATTATTCAGGGGACTTTATAGGAATTTTATTAAAACTTAAAATGGCATTTTTGAGGACCTTTTAAACTCCTAAATTAATTTTGTGGTTTGGGAATTAAAATGTGTTATGTGTAATTTGATTTGCCAATAAAATAATATGCTTGGTTTATTAAAAATGAAGTTTTCCTCTTAGATAATAATAACAGCTCTATTCATTGACCCATTAAATGCTTCTATTTTGTTGTCTTTAGAGTGTAATTACATACTAGACTAAGTCACCTTACATATTTTCAAGTTTCTAAGCAAAAACTTGAAGAACTTTGAGTCTCACAGTGAACAAAGTCCATTGTGTTTGGGATGTAGTACCCTTTCATCCAACAGATAGAAACAGATAGAAAAGGTACTCAGAACAATACCACCAAAAAAACAAAAACAAACTTTAAATGAAGGTTATGAAGGTTGGTTTAAAAGAGAAAATCTAAATACTGTATATACAGCTTTAGCCACAGGAAACCTTAAACAAATTCAATATGTGAATTCATCTAGAAAGTTGTTTCTCTACTTCTCTGTTTCTGTTACACTCACTGATTGAGACAAACATTATTGTCCTTAACTGAATTGTTGGCACAGTATTCAGTGAGCATCTCATGGAACAATCTTCTAGGGTATGGGGATAGATCAGTGCTCAGAATACACATGAACCCTGATCTCATCGAATTTAGTCAGTTAAGGAGAGATGGATGATAAACACTGAAATGTAGGCACACACTTATCAATGAAGGAAAAAAAATATATGGGGTGCCCATGAATAGCCCTCTGAAAGCATGAAATTTCAGCTGAGACTTTAATGCCAGTAGGGACTCCATGAAGTTCCCATTAAGTCTCCATGAATTCTCTGTGAGGATTGGTTCAAATACCATTTTAGGGATGGTATAGTTATTGCAGATACCTAGGGTAGGAATAGACTACAGATTTGTGAATAAGGAATAGAAAATCCTTGTGAATAAGAATAGAAAAAAGACAGCCAGATTTCAAAGAGCATATCTATAATCAAAGGCTAGCTGCCTTCTTTCAGGTAAGAGGCTGAGACAGGAGGATTGCAAGTTCAAGGCCAGCCTTATCAACTTAGTGAGACCCTGTCTCAAAATAAAAAATAAAGGGACTGGAAATGTAGTTCAGTGGTAGAGCACTCCTGGGTTTAATTCCTGGTACCAAAAAAAAAAAAAAAAAAAAATAGAGAGAAGCCAGTTGTGGTGTGGAAAGGGTGGTATAAGATGAACTTGGAGAAGAAACATGGGGTCGATCCCATGAATATGTTTTTTTTGTTTTTTTTTGTTTTTTTTTTTGATGGGAGCATTTCCAAACATTTTCCTTTGGGTGGCTGCAGAAGACAAGAGAAGATTAAGGGTTATCTGCAGAATACTTCCCCCATATGTCTCCTTGCAAGTTGAAATGTGTTTGACAGCATCAAAACCTTCTGCTTTAGGCCTTAGTTCGGACCTGCCCTGGGCTTACTGTAGTCCTGTGTCAGCACAGGGTCCTGAGAGTGTTGACTGTCTGATACTATGATCACATTTTTCTGCAAAAATAAGTAAATCAATCTCAAGATTCTCCCATCAAAGAAATTGTAACAGCTTCTGAGTTCTTGACTCTTATACTTCCTCTTCCCTGTGGCAAGGTTGTTCCTTGTGATTTGCCACATTCTGTGATTCTCTTCTTCATTTCTTGGGAGTTTTTTTTTTGTTTCTTCTCCCTCAGAATGTGAGCTTACCGACAACCACAGAGACTTACATACTCAGTTGTGTTTACTATTCTGTCTCCCAGTGACTTATAAAATAGTTGACATATAGTAGATGCTCAATGAGTATTTGAATGAGATGGGGAAATATGTCCGCCCATATATATAAGTAGAAATACACATAGATTTTTTTAAACTATTGATATTATTTAATTCTTTCATAGAATGTCTGGGGTATACCTCCTCTGAGCCCTTTGTCTCAGTTGAGGTATCTGTTTTCACAGAGGTGTTCTTTGAGCACTGATTAAAGAACTTACCCCCATTACTTAAAGAAAATCATAGTCATTTTATTTTTATATTAATTACTGCAGTCTGAAATAATTTATTCCATAAGTATAAACTCATGTAAGCAAAATAAGTCATTGAAACAGAAAGCATATTTAGGACTAGAAGTTGCTCTTTGACAAACAAGGGGACTGCCAGTGGTTGGAGGATAGGAGGATAAGAATTGTGTATTTGGAAATTGGGGTCCGGACACAGGCTACAATGGAAGGAAATACTTAATTTCACCTAAAAGAAAAAATAAGAGTAACGAGGTAGTCAAGAGGTAGAAATTCTTATAAGTAAGCATGATAATGTGGCATTAGTTACCAGCTTAACAATATAAAGTTTTTATAAGAACCATGTTATCAGAAATCTGCAGTCTCCATTTGATTAATAATTTATTCTGCATAAATAATGTGGGGCCTGATAATTTATGCACGTGCCTTATCTGTGATCCTTATTTCCTTTAATATGGTTTCCTTTAAAAAGGATTCTTTGCTGTGTAGAAATCTTCATAAAACAAAAATTATGGACTCCCCCTGCTGGATATGATTGGTAGAACCTGCAAATTATGTTACTTAGCATATATGTATTTTTTTTCAAAGTTTTTTGTACTAAAATACACATAACATAAAATTTGCCATCTTATCCATTTTAAATTTACAGTTTAGTGGTACTAAATACAAACCTACTGGTGTGCAGTATGTAACATGTAAGGACTCATTTACCTCAGGTTTCAAATTCAAAATTTCCTTCTTCACAGCCTCACTAAGCAGCCTTTTGATCACACCTTTCCCATCGCCAAGCTCCTCTACATCTTCTTCCAGCAGTTATCAGCGCCGTTGGCTTCGAAGTCAGACGACAAGTTTAGAGAATGGCATCTTTCCAAGGAGGTGAGTTTCAAGTTTGTTCTTGCTGGGGAAAGTGCTAGCGTAGGCAGCGTGATGGGGCCCCGCAGGGTGATCGCGCTCGCCTGCTGTCAGTGGGAGGAACGGGAATCTTCAAGGAGCCTCAGTGTAACCAGAAAGTTTACAAGTTAGACATTTGAAGGAGAAAATAGATTAAAGCTTACCAAAAGATTCTGATTTAAAAGACACTAGGAAATATCTCAGTAGTTGTGCCATGTTTGAGCTAGGTTTGGTGTTAACGCGAGTGTGCACTCTTTTTGAGTCCCTTACAAATGTAGCTCTTGTAAGTCGTGCAGGGTGGGATAAATCTCTTCCTTGGAGTGATATGATATTTGAAAATATGACATATTCTCTATTCATATTAGTGGTTTATTCTTATTGTAAATCTTAAATTTACCAACTGAACAGGCATCAATATAATTAAAAATATAAATGACATCAAATACTTTCTACCTTCATTTCTGTTGGTTTTGTAATCTAAACTTCAGTTATGTCTAAAACATATATTTGATCTTAAATCAGTAGCATCTAAACTCTTCTTCTATCACCCCAAAAGGGAAGTTTTATACATAACTATAAAAATTCACTTCAATTGATTTAGTAAATTAACTAGTAATGACTCCATCGGGATCTGTGAGAGTGTAAAAATGATTTGGCTACGTGCCTGCATTTAACCTTTTATGCACTGGTAGGGAAGATGATATGCACCTAAATAATGGTATAAAGAGACTACATGCTATAGGGAGGCATAAAGTGCTTTGGAACTCAAGGAAGGAGAAAACACAATGATGGTTGCACAGGAAGTGGGGAACCCTGTGGAGGAGAGGGCACTGAAAGGATAAGCAGAGAAAGAAGAGGTTAGAGCATCTCTTCTGTTCCTCTCACAATTCCAGGGAGCAAGGCAAGAAGAAAAAAGTAGAGCTGCATTATTCAATAAGGAGCTGATTTTTGGTTGATGGACTTCGAGTGAAATGGATGGGAGCTTGCCACTTGTTGTGAGGACAAGTCCTGCATGTTAGAACAAGTTAACCTGGATTCTAAGCACTGCTTCCGCATCTGCATTAGTGATAATAATATTAGTTTCAGCCTCAAAGGGTTGTTCAGATAGCCAAATAAGGTACAGCAAGTCAAGTGTTAGCCTGGACACAGCATATGGTGAATAGAATATTGGCCAATATGATTTGTTTGCTATTGCTACTGCTATCACTGTCATTGCTATTACTACAACTGCCAGGAGTTGGCGCCACCACCAGCCCCACCCGGCATTATGATAGCCGTGACCAGAAGAGATGGATCTTGGAAACCCTCACTCTTAGCCATCTCTTTGCTGAAAATGCCCTTTAATTCCTTCAGGTTTATGTCCCAAGTTGAGTATAGCATTTCTCCATTCCACTCCACTGAAATCCTTCAAAATTCTAATTTGAAGTAAGGACTGACATTGGGAATTAATCAATCTCTAGTGAATTTCTACCTTAAATAAGACTCTCACATTCAGAAAGCCTATGAATACAGTCAGGGCTGATATATAATTTGTGGGACCAGTGCAAAATAAAAATGCCAGGCCCCTTGCTCAGAAAACAGGAAAAATGCTGTTAAAGGTACTGAAAAGTAAAATTTTGCCTTTAAAAATAATAGTTATAAAACATAATAGAGATAACAGTGATATGTAAATAGCAACATAAACTTATAAATTACAAAAAATATTTTTGGTATAATTTTATATATTGCTATAAAAAATACTTAATATGAAATCTTGATTTATTGTAAGATTTTTCAGGCTTTTCTGCAAATTCACTATCATTGAAATTTCTACTTTAGCAACTTGTCTTTCAGTTGATATTGAAAGTGGCATTAATCATTCCTGGCAAATTCAGAGTGGCAAATAATTTTTTATAGTTATTTAGAGAAGGATCTTTCTACTGAGGCGTTGGGATGTGACAACATTGGGATGAATGACTGATAAACTTTTGATCAGGTGATTCTTGTGGAACAGTTTTCTAAAAAGATTAAATTCTTCACAGAAGTCCATTTTGTGTTAAATCTGAATTTAATTATAGATATAAATTTGTATGTGGCTATTTAATATTCCCTTTGATGTTTCCTAGAACTTGTATTTACCTTACAAGAAACTGAATGTCCTCATAAGCTGTTCAAAATGTCTGTTTATGCATTCTGTTGCTATTTCTTCAAATATGAGGAAACATTAATTTTAAAATGATCTTTCTCATTAGTAATTTGCCTATTGAATGTTCATATAGAAACAGTGAGGTTTTTTTTTTCTGTTCAATACAACAGACTTATTAATATTCTACTTCTATACCTGTGAATATTGCTTTGTAATATTGCAGCAATTTTCAGAATCAGAGATGACAGCTTTTTGAAAGATTCTAATAACTCCCAATTCACTTTATTGCAGTGTCCATGTGTATGTCTTTGCTTTGTGATAATTTACTCCCTTAGGGCTTAGGTCAGGAAGTTAAATATTTGTGTAAACTCCTTAGGGAAGGGCTCCAATGGTGGATGGAAAAGCTGGCCTCTTCCCATGGTTCCTGTCAGAGGCCCTCCCTTCTTTTCTCATTCCTCTCCCATAACTGGCCACTGTTGCTTCTGCTGTTATTACTGTCATAGCCATCAGTCTGGGTCCAAGTCCAGCCTGCCATCTTGGAACCTTGTGGCACCCTGTCCTGCTTCAGATGTGTTGGTGTAAGTCTGACTGTCAAGCCTGAACCCAGCCATGTATAGACTGCTGCCCCATATCTTCCCTGCTCATGTGCAAATATCATTGTCACATTAGACTTCACTTAAAGGACACTAATGCAAAGATAAATTATTAAGAATTCAAGATGCCAGTTGCAGAACATTATACCAATCCTGGGGCCTTTCTGAGAGCAGATTTAATGCCCATGAAGCCAGCCCTGAGTATAGTATGTTGAACATTGAGAATATATATGTAGAAGACATTTTGACTTGATTATCTGTACCTGAAGATCAATCTCTTCATTCAAAGGATGTTGCTGTTAATCCACTCCATTTTGGCAAGTAGTGGGTAAGAAAATCAGTTTCTTATACTAGAGACAAGAGAACAGTAGGTATAAAAAATTATTACTTCTGACCAAGAGAAAATTCACAGTAATTGAAAACTTCTTTTTTTTAATCATTTTTAATATTGTTTTTTAGTTTTAGGTGGACATAGTATATTCTATTCTTATGTGGTGCTGAGGATCGAACCCAGCCAGCACCTCATGCATGCTAGGCAAGCACTCTATCTCCGAGCCACAACCCCAGCCCCTGAAAACTTCTTTTCTAAGAGAATTAAAGGCAGTCAGGAATGATATTTGAATCCATAACAGGTGGCACTTCACTGACCTCAGGGCCCCCTGCTGTACCTGGTGATATGCTTTTGCAGCTTGGGCATTTGATAGGTGGTATCAGCAGTAGTACTAGTAAGGAAAGAAAAGCCACAAAGATTGTGCCACTCAGGCCATTGAAACTTCAAAGGAGCAAGATAAAATAACCCAGAAAGCCTTTTGATTTGATTTGTTTGATTTATAAATGGAATCAGTCAGTCAGGCATGATGGTCCACACCTATTATCCCAGCTACTTGGGAGGCTAGAATGGGAGGATAACAAGTTGGAGGCCAGCCTGAGCTTAAGAAGACCCTGTCTCAAATGAAATGAAAGGGGCTGGTGACATAGTTCAGTGGTTGACTGCTTGCCTAGCATGTGCAAGGCCCTGAGTTCAGTCCCCAGTACCTAGGGGAAAAAAAAATGATTGAACAAACCATATGAAGTTGCTGATGGGATGTTCTGTGACAACAAAAGTGTCAATTTCCTGTGGTCCAATGTAATTCATAAGGTTCATTGTAAGTCAAAGCTGACATAAGTAACAAGCCAAGTAGTCCTGATACAATGATAGGTTGTTGAGAAATATTAAAATAATTATAGTTTTTGCTTTATCTGTGACCTTAAAGTACTTATAATGTACATAAATGTGTATTCAGAGCATTAGTTAAATTCTCTTTATAAGGAATAAGATTGTGTAGGGTGGTTGGTATTGTTTTGATATTAGACTTTCCCCAAAGCTCTTGTGTAAGATAGTGCAAGAAATGTAGAGGTGAAATAATTGGGGTATGAGAACCTGAACCTAATCAGTGCATTAATTTGCTAATAGGGTTCAACTGGGTAGTAACTGTAGCCAGGTAGGGTATGGCTGGAGGAGGTGGGTCTCTGGGGGGTGTGCCGTTGTGGTTTATATTTAAATGTCCCTAGTGAGAGGAGCCTCTCTCTGCTTCTTGGTGTCCATGTCTTGAGCCTCTTTGCTATGCCACACTTCCACCATGATGGTCTGCCTTACCTCAGGCCCTGAGGAATGGCATCTGCCATCCATGAATCGATTGAGACCTTTGAAACCATGAGCACCAAATAAACTTTTCCTCCTCCAAAACTGTTCTAGTCCGGTCTTTTGATCACCACACTGAAAAAACTTAACTAAAACAGTGGTCTTTCTGCAACCTGGAGCCCATTAGCTGATCTGGTTGCTTCTAGCTTCTTCCCCTCAGTGCTCCAACTGTTGTAATGCCTCAGATGGCATGAGCACCAGCCAACAGATGAGGAATGGGGTCAGAGTTTGGTCATTTCCAGTGCCCAGTAACTGAACCTGTAATAGAGACAGAAACTCTGGGTTCTAACTCTAGCATTGTCACTAAGAAGCTTTTTGTTCCCCAGGCAATTGAGTAAGCACCCTGCCTCAGTTTGTTCATTTACAAATCAGCCTATGCACCTTACATGGTTGATGACCTGTGGGAAAAGGTACATGGAAGTATTGGGCATGTATATTCAAATTTTTAAAAACATTCTTTTATTATGGAATAATTTTTAAAAATGGAATTATGATACTATTCGATCTGACTTATTCCAGTTTTCATAATGGATCCAAGACTATACTCAGTTGCTTTAGAATTTACTAGAGGATATATGTAGTGAAGCAAGGAGGATTGCTACTGTTACAACTATGGAAGTTTTGCAGAAATTCAGCAGGTGGCGCTCTCTGCTACGTTAAACCAAGGAGAGAATTTATTGGGTAGAACTGAAGATAATGGATGAAGGATAAAGGTGCAGAGTTCAGTGTTTGTAACTATTAGATTATTAAAGATCATGTTGGCCTAATGAGGAGTGGACTGGTATGAGAGTTTACTTTTGAAAAACAAGAGACATAAGTACAAGCATGTTTAACAGTACAAGCTCAGGAGTATTTTTTTTATAGACAAAAGAAATAAACTAGTGTAGGAAAACAAGGTTTTAACAGAGGTATTTTAGAAAAGAATGGTGCATTGTGTGAAATCACACATTCTAAAAGATTCTCAAAGAATTTTTTCTGATGAGGATGATCTAGGGATTTCTTGAAGTGTATAGTTGATGGTTTATTATAAAATGTAACATTAATAGGCTGAGGTTGTGGCTTAGTGGTGGAGCACTTGGTTCGATCCTCAGCACCACATAAAAGTGAGTGAGGCACTAGGTTCGATCCTCAGCACCACATAAAAGTAAATAAATAATATAGATGTATTGTGTCTATCTACAACTAAAAAAAAAATTAAAAAGTAACATTTACAACCTAGAGATCGTGTGCTGCCAGTGGTGAGTCTGAAGTGAGAGCATTTTACATACTAATCAGCCATACCTGCATCTCTGAGAACTTGGGTGAAGTTAAGGGACATAGAAGCACATCTCTGAGATTAGAACAAAATTTAAAATTAGCTTTTCTAACCATAAAAACTTTTTATCTGTTTATGTTTTATAAAATCTGGATGTATTTGAACTTTATAGGTCGTGAGTACCGCACCAAATATAGGACCAAGGACAGGAAGCTAACTGCCTTGAATTCTGCCCAGCATCAGGAATTGTGTTATAAGGCAGCAGTACCTTCCTGTATTTGTCAGAGATAGAAGCTAAATGGTAGTGAGAAAGAGAAAAGAAGTTGCATACCTACCATGTGCCAGGCAGGGTGCTTTCCTTTACAATGTTATATCCTTTGCTTTAGTGTCTTTGTAGAACAAAGCAAATTAATTTTTTTATCCTCACTCTTGCTATTAGCAGCTTTGTGGCAGCTATTCTGGCTTTTCACAATAGTTAAATAAGAGATTTTGTTAGGCCATAGTAGTGAGGATTATCCTATAAGACAAATTGTGAATACATTCAGAATTTATTCACGTCATGGTTATTTTATCATAGAAGCAGAGTCTCAAAAGAATCATAAGTTTTTGAGAATTTCACTAAAACAGAAGAGGTGATTCTTTCTGCTTGGGGAATTTCTCAGAGAGCTCAGTCAATCACATGGCTTAATCTGAGCACTGAGAGGAGTTTCATCTAGTGGTCTTAGTATCTTTGGGAAAGTTAGCCTGGAAAGCCAGTAAATATTCAAATGCAATGCCTGTGTTAGAATACTGTGTACAATTTTTCCTTTTTTGACATTCTTATCTGTTGATGTCAATCAAAACAAAGGGCTTATGAATTTTGAGTGAACAGGTATTTCATACCACTCCTAAATACCACCAGTCTACAAAATGATACAGAGGGAAGGGTGAGAGTCTAACAATGGTACATTCAAATTAACTTTTGGTTTTCATTTGAGTTTCTTTTCATGTTACAATAATAATGTGTGGCAAGCCAGTGTTCTCATTTTTCACACAGGGAATCATAAAAGAGAATGAACGGGAAGTAGATAAACTCTTTACCAAGACTCTGAGGGTTCTTGATAAGCTTTCTGAGTGTTGTCCTTGGCATGACAGTTGACCATCAGTGTGACTCATTGATGCATGGCAACTTTTCAAACTTTTTCTTCCTCCATTCAGGTCCACTGATGAGACATTTAGCTTGGCTGAAGAAACCTGTAGTTCTAATCCAGCCATAGTTAGGAGGAAGAAAATTGCCATAAGCATCATCTTTTCCCTGTGTGAGAAAGAAGAAGCGCAACGGAATTTCCAGGACTTCTTTTTTTCTCATTTCCCCCTCTTTGAATCTCACATGAACAGGCTAAAGAGTGCAATTGAAAAGGTAACAACATCATAATCTAATGTCAACTGGAGAAGTGATTATGGGGTTTTAAGGATGGCAGAATCTCTGTTTATGTACCAGATCACCTTCCTAAGGAAGTTAAGTCAGCCCCAGCAGTGATGGGTCCTTAGGAACATTGATGTTAGCTACCAGATACTGGTTGCTTTAGGAAAGGAAATTATTGCTTTCTAATGACTGAAGGCATGATTACCTTGGGTGTGCTTAACTTATTATAATTCACTTTTTTAATTAATGAAGCCCAATAGATAAGTTGTAAGGTAGTTTCTTCTTTGAGTGATTGGGCTTGCTTTCTCTCTACCAAGGCCATGATCTCCTGTAGGAAGATTGCAGAGTCAAGCCTCCGTGTCCAGTTTTACATCAGCCGTCTGATGGAAGCTCTGGGAGAATTCAGGTAAAGTCAAGTTTTGACAAATCTAACAAGAAATTGATGAAGAGCAGCAGTGGCAGCAGCCATGGATTTTAGGATTATAGGGAGAATTGAAGGGCTAGTCACTTCAGTGGCTCCGCCCTTCAAGATGGAAAGAGACCAAATGGAGCAAGAAATTTAAATAATCCAACACTAAAGAATCTTTACCCCTACCTGACAGTTCTTATATGATTGTTCTGAACAGAGTAAGTGGAGAAAACTGACATTTGGTGTGTCTTATAAGTCTGTTCATTGTCTCATGTCATCCAACAACAATTCTAGGAGTAAGCACTACTACCCCCATTTTACATATGTGGAAAACTGAGTTCAAAGGTGCTCATCCAGAGCACATAATGGAGAGCATGCATATCAGCAACACCTATGTTCCAGTTTGCCAGCACAGTTCTAGTTTGTATCCACTGTCTTCCCGTACATGTCCTTGTCTGGACGTTACTTATCTCATCACCCTCATATGTCTTCATAGGCAGTTTCTAATTAATGACCTTTGTACTCTGGAATCCACTTTTCTAGAGTCCTTGCTCCTGGTGTCTCTGTAGAAAGGTAATCTGTTCTGGGTAGCAGGTGGAATTCTCTCCCACCATGCCGAATTGAAATTGTTGCACCATCTCTTGGAGCTAGTCATGGTAGTGAATGGAATCTCACTCCAAAGTAGCCATGTAATGAGTCAAACTGTTACTCCTCAGCTGAGGGATAAAATATATTTTATAATTTATAGAATGTTAGGACATTTTTGTGGTGCTTAAGGTATCTGCTAGTCAACTGTATAATAACTGCTTACAATGAAGTCACCATGATTTTTGAATGTAAAGTACTCAAGTAGCACCGTAGGCATTATCTGATAATTGTTAAGACTTAAGTCACATGTTTGAAGAATATTGTGAAGTTGTGCTTTTTGATGGCAACCTGATGATTAGTAAACCTCCCATAGTTTGTTTGGGCAATACTAGAGTTACCTGTTGCTCTGCTGTGGTCAGACTCAAAGCTGGATTTTGCTTGAGTCTGGGTACTACTATAATGAGAGTATTAATTTTTCAAGAAACTGAAAGAAAAGAACTAAAAAGCTTCACTGTGTACATAGATGGGTCCTATTTTTCAACAGTCACAACCGCTCAAAATGGTGACAGAATTAAGTTTCAGCATTTAGAGTCCTTGGTTTCACTAAATGAATTTTGGTGCTGTTTACTGGTAGCTTGTCATTGCTACATAACTCAGCAAATACTGTGTTTTTGTATTACCAAGGTGGAATTCTCTTAGGTCCCAGATCTTTCATATACAGTCGGAAAATCAAGTCAATATGTCTCTTATATCTTGATTTTGGATGTGTTACCAAATCAGAGATATATTAGTCTTTTACCCCGTGGAGAGCCTAAGTTTTTCTACACATTGAAAAAGCACTTGTAACTCATGTAGCTTAAAGCAGAGCCCTCCATGCCCGGCAATGAGACCTGAATTCACATCCTAACCTTGCCATTAAATATCTGTATGTCTTGGCAAAGAACCTAATCTTCTCTAGGCCTCTGTATAAAGTTAGTATGTAGTATAGTAAAGAAGAGCAACTTATATAGGTTTTTTCCTATAAAACAAATAGAGTGCTTTAACTAACAAAATCAAAACATTATTCAGAAATTGGGAGAGTTGAATTAACTGATCACATTTTTAATATAGTATATACTTTCTCCCTATGTCTCCTTTATTATAAAAATGGTTGTATGATACCCCACAAATATGTATTTTTATGTTTTATGTATAGGTTAAAATATATGAAAATTTAAGTAGTTGTAGTTTCTGACACAGAATATGGTGAAAATAAATTGTTTTTACAATGAATATTTTATGTTAGAGAGTTGACATACTTTTTCTGAAAGGGGTATCTGTCACATCTATTCAATTTTACCATCATCCTACAAAAGTAGCATTAGATAGTATGTCAGTGAATGAGTGTGTGTGTGTCCCAGCCAAGCTTTATTTACATAAAATATAGGAGTCTGATTTATCCTGTAGTTCATACTTTGCTAATCCGTTATATATACTTCTTGAATCTCTTAAGGACTGCAGAGATCCAAATTTTTCTCCTTTATTCTTTCTTTTTATTTTTTGGTACCAAGAATTCAACAATTCAACCTAGGGTCCCTTAACTACTGAGCCACATCCCCAGCCCTTTTTTATTTAGGGACAGAGTCTCTCTACAGCCTCACTAAGTTGCTGAGGCAGACTTCAAACCTATGATCCTCCTGCCTCAGCCTCCCAAGCCTCTGGGGTTACAGGCATGTGCCACCATGCCCCATTCTCCTGTGTTCTTTTGTACCGAGATTATCTTAAAATATTTGTGACTGTTTTATGCATCCCTTCTCTCTCTCTTTCTCTCTCTCTCCTATAGAGGGACTATCTGGAATTTATATTCTGTTCCAAGGATAGCTGAACCAGTATGGCTTACTATGATGTCAAACACTTTGGAAAAAAACCAGCTCTGCCAGCGCTTTCTCAAGGAGTTTACACTTCTGATAGAACAAATCAACAAAAATCAGTAAGCTTCAACTCTCTGGAGGCTTGTATGTGAATTCTATAGCCAGTGCATGTGCTGCATAAGACATGCCTCATCCAGTATTGACTAATCTGGTTGTATTTTCTTCCATTTCTCCAAGGTTTTTTGCTGCCTTACTGACTGCAGTGTTAACCTACCACCTGGCTTGGGTACCAACTGTCATGCCTGTTGATCACCCTCCCATTAAAGCCTTCTCAGAGAAACGTACCTCTCAATCAGTGAACATGCTGGCCAAAACACATCCATACAATCCTCTCTGGGCACAGCTGGGTTAGTACCTCATTTGACTGTTCAGATAACATAGGGGCAAAATTGGAAAAATGCTAGAATGTATAGCTTATATGGACTGTCCAACCCAGTAAGTCAAAAATTGTCACTGAGCAGGGAAATAATAGAAGAGTGACCCACAGAATCTAATTGTAGAAGGTAGTCAGACTACTACCTTCATTTGTTTTCCCCCTACTGAGAGCTTTGTTCTTTTAAAGGAATATGGGCAGCCATTCTCCATTTCACAGTGCCTGTTCACTCTAGCACACGATTTCTTAACCTCAGCATTATTGACACTTTGGACCAGATAATTCTTTATTAGTTGAGTTGTGTGGGGGTAGGAAGAGAGCATCTTAGGCATTGTGGGATGTTTAACAGCACCCCTGAACTCTGTCTTATAGATACCAGGAGAACCCAAAGTTGTAACAATTAAAAAATGTCTTAAGACACTGTCAGATGTTCCTGGGAGAGGGGCAGCTAAACAAACCCTGTTTGACAACCACTGCGCTAGAGGGTGGCTCAGATGGGAAAAGAATAAGACAAAGAGGAAAGTAGAGGCATGCTATAATCTTGTCAGTTATAGCATAAGTAGAAATTAGAGGTGGTATTGACTTTCTCAAACCTTGTCCTGAGGCATGGCATAGGATTCTGTACCATGGTTGGTGGGTGGTTTAGAGTTTGGGGTTTGTGAGAATCGGGTTTGCATATTTGGGCTCCTGTGGAGAAGAGGCATCCTCTAGAGCCTCGCACGCACGCTCTTTACCAGACCTGTGCTGCACATGGGGAGGGGGAGTGGAATACCTCTGGGAGCTGGCTGTCTCACAGACAAAGCAGATCCATATTCACATGACTAAAGAGCATCCTGCTTATGGCTTTAATAAGGGTGTACAAAGGGATGCAGGAGAAACAGTGGGAGGTGAGGAACTTGAGGGCCAGCAGTCTACTCCTGGGTCTCAGCCTCCACTGGCAAGTCACTTAGTTTCTCTGTGCCTGTTGTTGTTTCTTCTTCTACTTGTCCCCTTCTTCCTTTCCTCCCCTTTCCCTACCTCTTCCTCTCCTCCTCCTCTTCTTCCTCTTTTTTCTCTTCCTCTTCTTCCCCTCCTCTCCTCATTTGCCAGGCAAGCACTTCACCACCAAGCCACACCCCAGCCTCATGCTTACTTTTGCATCTGTTAGATTATCAAGTGGGGTGGTGATGGGACTGACTTCCCGGTTGCTGTGGGACTAGAATGGCTGTATAAAGCACCGTTGTTATGTTGCTACTGCAAATTTATATTGTGGGGTCCCTTGAGAGAAAGAAAGAGTATGAGGGGGATTTTCAGGGAAGGCTGTACTTGAGGAAATGTAAAATGGAATTTTCCAGAAAGAAGAAGGGGAAGGAAGAAAAAAAAGAAAAACTAGGGAAGAGCACTCCAGTCTTAGAAAACAGCATGTTTAAACAACAATATCAAAAGCTGAAGCAGTGAGCCAAGCACTCTTTTAAGTGCTTTTTACCCATTAATTCATGTGTACACTCCTACCCTATTACTATTGTTCTTTTTTTTTTTTAAGTATTTTTCAGTTGTAGAGGATTGAACCCCGTGTCTCACATGTGCTAGGCAAGCATTCTACCACTGAGCTACAACCCCACCCCTATTGTCCTTATTTTAGAGCAATAAAAACATCTTCTTGTCCTTGTGCCCTTGGTTATGAGATGTGTAAGAAGGAATATGTAAGTCTCATGGTGGGGAGAGGAGTGTTAATAGATGTATTCTTTAAGCCATTTTAATACAATACTTTAATACTTGATGCAAATAACCCACACTAAGCTCAGGAAGACCTCAGAACGTGCTTGGCTCAGCCTTGCTCATACAGTTCTTCCTTGGGAGGGTAGAAGGTTGTTCTTGTTATGAGACAGTAGCCTTTTAAAAATGTAGTATTAAATGGTGAAGGAAAGGGGGCTGGATATTAAGGAAATATAGTATCTCAAGCTGCCGGGTCACCAATTTAAAAACAATGCTAATTAAGCAGTTTGCATTTAATTAGATAAATGTATTTATAATTAGGCATGCTTCTTATTTGCAGCTGAACTAATTGGGAGCCATTAATTCCCTGTTTTCAGCATAACAAGGCAAAATCCCTTCCTGTGGGTTTACATTTGTCATTTTTCATTGCAGATCATGTGTTATTGAAGGTCTTCAATTCTTCCTTCCCCCAAACAATCCAGTAGGGGTCTAGCTATTGATGATTAGAGTAGTGTGAGGAGGAGACAAGGCCCTGGTGCAAGAGAGGACTTGCTGGCTTCGGAAAGCCAATTGTGAATGATGGTTGAAGTAGAAAAGATTCTGTCTGGAATCATTTCAAAGACTTCTCAGAGCTCGCCAGGACAGTTAGCACCACGGTGCCCACAATTCTGTATGGCTTCTCAGTGCTTCCCGGCCAGGGAGGGTTGAAGAAAGAAGGTGCAGCCCCTTGTTTTCACTCTCAGGAGCTTAGTGATCTGTGTCTCTACCTCACACAGCCCCTCTTGAAAGGGCTTGTCCACAGTGAGGATCACTACCTACTAGTGGGCTGCAGAAGCAATTTAGTGTGTTGAAAGGCATCTTAGAGGTATAATTTTTGTACAGTGCGAGTTCCAGAGGGCATATGAGGCTTCTCTGTAAAATGTGCTTCTTTGTTGGCATGAGGACACAAAGTTTGAAAGCCACTCTAAGGTGACACGGATGAAAGAGTCTTCTGTCTACCTCCTTTGGACTTAATCAATGTCAAGGGTTTGTGGAAACAGAATGCAGCTTTTCTTAAAAGATGTTTCATTTATTTGGGGGGGCAGAATATTTGAATTACTTTTTCATTTTTCTACCTAAAGTTTAAGTTACATTTTTCAGAAAGCAGTATAAATTAGACTTTAAATTAGCTAAAAGAAAAAAGAAAAAACACCTGGTCAGAATTGAGTAACCACATTTAAATAAGCCAGGTTCACAAAAGAAATTAGAAGATATCTTGAGTTAGTGATACAGAGATGCTGGATGGGGTGGGAGCCCTTTGCAGGGGCTCCAAGCAGACAGGTGAGCACAGTGGTGTCCCATCAGCACACCTGGCTTCAGTCTCTTCCCTCACATGCTCACGTATCCGCCAGCCTTTGTTTGTTCCTCTGTCTTTACCAGGCTCCTGCGTTCTTGTGGCTCCCTGCCCTGATATTTTCTGCCCTCTGCTTCTAGTTTCTATTCCTGTCATTGTTTCCCTCTAGACCTGTTTTCTTTTCCTCTCCCTGTCTCCTGGGTGCTTTCTTTTCCCCGTGTTTTGCCCCCCTGGATTTTGGCTGTACTCTAAAGCCCTGCAGTTCATACCTCTCTAACTTACTGCACCTCTCTCCTTTCCCCTCCTTGCCTTTCTTCCCTTCTCACCTTTCTCTTCTGTAGTTTTCTCTCTTCCTCCCTCGCTGTCACTGCCTTCTCTCTGCTTCTTTAATTCTTCCTTTTTTCTTCTGCTTCGCTTCTGATTTCTGTCTTTTTCCTTAAATTTTCATTAATTAAGGTAAAAAACATGTCACATACAGTTTTTCATCTTCACTGTCTCTGAGTAGACAGTTTGATAGTGTTAAGTATATTCACCTTATTGTGTAACTTCTTCATTTTTAAAAATCATCCCCATGAAAGCAAAGCAGTCTTCTCTAAAATTAGTAGCTTCATTAGTCCAGGACTCAAAAATTGCCTTCTAGTCAGGAGCCAATAAATCTTTGATTTTTATGGGTCTATTATTTTAATGATGCATTATTTTATGAAATTTGTCCCTAAAGTAATAACATTCATTGCTCTCATTACTTTATATATTTTATTATAAATTTTAATAACTTGCTTTTTTAAATCTTTTACTACTTATTCCTTGGTCATTAAAACTCACAATACTAAAAGTTAAATGGATTGTTAAAAAATAATACTGTCATTCTGAGCAGCCTTTCTCGTGTGGTTTGTTATACCAGATTTTGAAAGTGTTAATTAATTACTCCTTAATTAACATTGAGGATGGTTTAACAGAAATGTCCCATAAATTTCTGAAGTGACTATAATATGGGCACATACAGTCAGAGGAGAGTAACAGAATGTGCTCTTGGTCTATGAGGTTTTCTCAAACCAAAGCCTGAGCATCACACTACAGTCCCTGAATCACTCTTTTCATTTTTAGGATGATTCCTCAGTGAGTAGCAAAAGTTCTATTAGCTTACAATCTAGTCTTTTTATAGAGAGGATGTTTTTTATTATTTCTGTCATGTTCTTTAAGTGTTCGGAAGAGCCATACACTAGGGAATACTCTCCAAAAGATGTACTTCCTTGTGGTTCCCCAGGGAGAAGCACTTTTGATGGGTTCTCATAACTTTTTTTCTTTTTCTTCCTTTTTTGGTACTGGGGAATGAACTCAGGGGCACTTGACCACTAAGCCACATCCCCAGTCCTATTTTGTATTTTATTAGAGACAGGGTCTCATTGAGTTGCTTAGAGCCTCACTTTTGCTGAGGCTGACTTTGAACTCACGATCTTCCTGTCTCCACCTCCTGAGCTGCTGGGATTACAGGCGTGCGCCACTGTGCCTGGCCTCATAACTTTTTCTTCAGCCTTAATCTGTTAACTTTACGTATTTTTTCTAATATATGTTTTTATAAATACCCTCCTGCCTCTCTTTGGCACATATATACCTCAGATATATACTCATCTGAGGGTATTTATAAGGGTATATACTAGAAAATAAAAACTTCCAAAATTTTCATTTGTAAATGTTTACCATATAGCAACTTTTTTTTTTTTAACTTAGTATCTTTTCTGATTTTGATTTCTTCCAGTGTTCTGGTTATTTTTTAATGGTTTCTGACTCCATGTTGGTTATGGCAGATATAATGAACAGTGCCAGTCCAGTCAGTCAGTGTTGTGTTTGGTCTGGTTGCATATTGAGAGCACTGGTCTTAGCCCTCCTTGGGCTAGCCTGCTGGCCAGCAGGCCTCATGAGCACAGCACCACCACTGCCAGGCACCAAAGGTAGTGGCTGTGGCCTGGCCAGGCCTTTCCAGGCTGCCTCTTCATTCTGGAGGAAAACAAAAACATGGTCATTTCTAGAAATTAGAAATCAGGTTTATCTGAGGAAGTAATTCTAGGTTGGCAATCTTAGTCATCTGTTCTGCTCTTGTCAAGACTGATATATTGATGCATGCTAACCCAAGAGGACTTTGTCTTGGTGTCCATCTTGACTCTCTAGGTGACCTTTATGGAGCTATAGGCTCTCCAGTAAGACTGACTCGCACCGTGGTGGTGGGGAAGCAGAAGGATTTGGTCCAGCGCATTCTTTATGTCCTGACCTACTTTCTCCGTTGCTCTGAGCTACAAGAGAACCATCTGACCTGGTGTGGGAATCACAGTGAAGGTGACCAAGTTATAAATGGGAGCAAGATTGTAACAGCCTTGGAGAAAGGAGAGGTGGAGGAGTCCGAGTATGTGGTCGTGACAGTGAGAAATGAGCCTGCGCTGGTACCCCCCATCCTACCAACAGCAATGACTGAGAGAAGGAGCCCCGGGCCCACAGGGTTGGCTGGGACTCCAGAGGGCACTGACATTAGAGACCTGGATCCCAGACCTGAGAAAGAAGGAAAGAAGGGGCCAGACCAGGGATCTGAGGCTCATAGCATGGGATTCCAAGAGCCAGAATTAGACAGTTCTTGGAAACCTCATCCCCTTTGTGGGGATGAAGGAAGTGAAAAAGAGGCACCATATGATGTCCCTTCGAGGTTTCCCAGGTGTGCCATTCCAGGGGCAGAAAAGAAGATCAGCCGGCCAGCTGCCAACGAGGAGCTGAAAGAGGAGATAACTAAGAAGCTACCTGAGCGGTCAGCAGCCTGGCCTTGCCCTTGTCCTGACAGACATTCCCGAGAGAACTCTCCTGTAGAAAAGGTCACTTTCCAAATTGGAAGCTCCCTATCTCCAGAGTCTGACCTTGAAAGCCGCACCAAAAAAATGGAGGAGCGGCTGAAGGCTTGTGGACAATACCCAGAGGTGGCCAGTATCTCAGCCGAGTCCAGTGTGGCTGCTGACGTGGCTGAGAGCCAGCAGGTTTCTAGGTGCTCCTTCAAGCCTGGCTTTCAAAAGAATGCCTGCTGTCCTCAGAATCGATCTTCTGACGGAGAGGAAGGTGAATCTGACAGAGGTTTTGCTGAGGACAGAGGTATCAGACCTGACGTGGCAGCAGATGCTGGGCAGCTCAGCCAAGCTGTTCCCACTGACAGTGCAGCGGGAACTGGAAGGAGAACACTGGAGACAGCTAGAGGTTTGTATTTGAAAGATGTGGAAGGACCTTCATTAGAGCCTGCCCCCGACAGGTGTGTCCAGCAGGACTCTGGCCTCTTGGTTGCTGCAGATGTCCCCTGTGGGGATGCCGATAGGAAAGCTGACTTCAGGATCGAAGGAGACATTCCCAGAAACGAAAGCTCGGATAGCGCCCTTGGAGACAGTGACGATGAAGCATGTGCTTCAGCCACATTGGATCTAGATCACAGTGGTGACAGGACTGAAGGGACCTTAGAAGTGGAGCTGCCTCTGCCAAGGTAATGCTGGCAGGCTGGGAAGCAGAGGGGACTGGGATCTAGTGTGTTCCTGGCCTGACACTGTGATCATGGTGGCTACTGTGGGCTACTTTACACATGGTACTTTCCTTTTTCTCTTAAAATATTAGAATTGTTTATCAGATAAATCAATACAAAAGTTTTCCAACCGGGGCTGGGGCTGTAGCTCAATGGCCTAGCATGTGTGAGGCACTGGGTTCTATCCTTAGCACCGCATAAAAAACTAAACAAATAAAGGCACGCTGTCCATCTACAACTGTAAAAAATAAAAATAAAAACTTTTCCAACCTGCTCCTCCTCCAAGGAAGCTCACTAGCTCAGGGTGGCACATCTCTCTAAGGGAGTACCGGGGATTGTCTCTGCAGCTCTTCTGACATTTGGGGAAAGGCAAGGGAGGTGGTGTGCGGAACAGGGAATCTAATTCTCTGTGGTCGCATGGAAGGTAGATAGCTGGCAGCAGATGCCTTGACTCAGAGGTGGTGGATCACACTTGCTGTGGGCCTCCTCTCCTGCTGCTCAGAGCAATGTGAGGTGGTTGGGAAACAACACCTCTTCCTTAACACTCCGTCAGATTGATTATTTGGTCTGTGATGACTGAAAGCAGTAATTAGAGATTTCTTCTGTTCTTCCACACTGCTGTGAGTACCACCCTGTGCAGATAGGTCAAATTCCTAAAGCCAGACTCTTGGCAAGAGCCCCCCTCCCTCCCAGACCTTCTCTTTCACTATTTTGACAGACGCCTGGTGGAACGTATGAGGTCCAAGAGCAAAATCTTAACTGGTTGTGGAAATACTTAGTTTTTTTTTCCAGGCTTCCATTTTTAAAGAAAATTCCCTTCTATTAGTTTCACTCTCCTCTTTTCTTATGCCATTGATCAGCTTACGGGAGGATTGGTAAAAAGTCAACCACCCTGAATCTGTTTTATTTACTTGTGTCATTGGGATTTTTGTTCTGTTTGGAATGCAAAGAAGAAAGTACCTACATTTTTAACTATGTGTTTTAATGTGCCAAATATTGTTTTAGGTCTCAAAGCATCAGCAACCCAAATGTAAGAAACTTTGGCCGCTCTCTCCTGGCGGGTTACTGCCCCTCATACATGCCTGATCTGGTGCTTCATGGGACCAGCAGTGATGAGAAGCTGAAGCAGTGCCTGGTGGCTGATCTTATCCATACAGTGCATGTAAGTGACCCCTGCTTGAAGCCACTGGCCACTGAAAAGGTGTTGGCCAAGGCTGTGGCCAGCAACAGGTGTTTAGAATAAAGAGCCTTTAATTAAGGGATTGTTTTTAGAGATGTGACCAGGGTTATGGGAACCCACAAGGGCTGGTGAAGCACCCAGAGACAGGCTATAAGCACGCCTGGGCCAGAAGAAGTAAAGGGAGGGATCGTGACAGCAGAGCTGTGGAGAGCTGAAGTCTGGGAGAGAGGCTGCTGGCTGCAGTCTCCCTTCCCATCCTCTCATCCTCCTGAGCCCAGCTGGAGGCCAGAGAGCAAGGGCGTAGCTGATGCAGATACGAGGCTATGGTCCATAGAGGTCAGCCTCCTGGGGTCTAGAATAGGACAGAGAAGGGCAAAGGGGGTGGGGAGGCCAGGCAAAGAGAATAAATAGCACAGATGGTGACAATTATACACCCTCACAGGGAAGACTGAGAAGATGTCACATATGGTTTATTTTTTATTCGAGCCTTACAAGTTCTTAAAAGTAATTTATTTTAACTGATTTGTCATTAAGTTCACTTTGATGGTTGCGTGAGGATGACTGTATAAAGATTAACAAGTCTTTCTGGAAAATTGCCTTGTGGCTTCCGTTAAGTGCTTTTCTGCTATCTGCAGCGTGACAGGAACTGAGCAGTTAAGAAAACTGTGTCAATCTGATGGGCCTGTTTTTAATTGAGCTGCTTTTGGGCAGATGTGCAAAAATAGATGTTTTGCATTAGAAGCATATTGTATCTTGTGCAATAAGGGAAAGTCTTCATTACATTAAGAAAATTTAAAGTTGGCATGTTAGCTAGCCCCCTACCCAACAAGTTTTCTTTTTGCAAGGTGGAACTGAAGGCATGGCATATTATCTTTGGCCTTGGGCATATCCCCTGTAAAGGCTAAACACACATCAGACAGGCTAAATAGGCTGAGGATATTTGTGTGAAGTGGGAAGAAAAGCTCAGTAGGGAAGCAGATGTCCTCCAGACTCCTAGGAGGTAAAGAGTTGAGGGCAGGGCGGGTGTAAGCTGAGGAAGGCCCTCCCAGTGTACATGTGCACCCAAACATTCCTAATTCCACCCTCCTTTGTGGTCAGAACCATCCCTTACCAGGATATTCCTGGAATGAAGCTATGAAATTGATTTTGTCTCCTTAAATAAGATCACCATTCCTTTTCCATAGTTAGCATACTTACTTATCATTTCAGAAGTCCATACACCAATAACCCTTGTATAAAAGCATACCCTCAGCACATGGCATTATCTGAGTTGTCCTAAATGCTGGGTGATACCAGGCAATTTTATAGATTGCACTTGTATGTTTAGTAGCTCTCTGGAACATTAAGGTGGCAGGGGAATAGAGGACCTCATTTCCTTTTCTGCCAGCATCTTATGTGTTTGTATCCATATTTGCAAAACCTGTGTTTTCCTTCTGCTCTGCAGTTTGATTCCTGAGAACATTGGTATTGCTCATTGGACCTTTCTTCTACTAAGCCCTGTGTTCTGCTTTTAACTCCGTTTTCTTTTTTTGGTTGAGCAGGAGTGGGTACTGGGAATTGAACCCAGGGGCACTCAACCATTGAGTGACGTCCCAGCCCTTTTTTATTTTTCATTGTGCGACAGGATCTCACTAAGTTGCTAAAGGCCTTCCTAAGTTGCTGAGGCTGGCTTTAAACTTGAGATATGCCTCTGAGTTGTTGGGATTACAGACATGTACCACAGCGCCCAGCCTATGTTCTGCTTTTGACAGAGGCACCAGGAGATTGCATGTGAGCTATTGGGATCATCTTCTGTGATATCTTACCAAACTGGGGAATTTTGCCCAAATTCCCTAGACTAATTCATTTTCCAAGAAGGAAATGTAATCTATTGGATTGATATCCCTCCTTAACTTACTGTAAAACCATTCATGAAATTTTAAAATATTTTCTATAGACTGGCAAATTACAATTTCTGAATATCAGATTTTCATTGGTGACCGTTAGTCTTAGATTTGGAAAAAAAAAAACAACAACCATATTTGCCCTATCATTCTTCTTAAAGCTTTTCCTATTTCATCTTCTCTTTTTAAAAGTAGTGTTTTCACACTGTAGCATTTCTCATTTCTTTAAACTCTGCAGTCACCCTGAGAGAGATAGTTATTATGCACAGTTGCCTATATCATTGTCAGATTGTGGGTACATCCAAAGTGCAGCCATGCATGGGTGTTAATAGGAAATGGTGAAGGGCTCATAAAAGTATCTTCACAAGTTTAATACGTTCATAATATATCCAATTAGCATTAGTGGATTTCTAATTTCACTTGACACGTTGATCATAATGAGTTTTATTTTTGAAGTAGTGTTCTCTTTAGAATGCCTCTCAGACTGGCAGTCTGGTCTGAGGCGGGCTTAGTTTTTGTATTTTGTTTTTGCTTTACTTTCAACTTGAATTTACAAATATTTGTTGAAAATAAATTAGAAGTACTTTTTAAATAATAAACTTACTGCTCTGTAAGGCACAGTATACTAGTTATTTAGTTTCTTGAGTTGTAGCCAGAGAAAGAAGACTCAAGAACAAGTCGAGCTGAAAGGAATAAGCTCACTGAGGACGAGAAGATTAGAATAAAGAGCCTTATTATTGCTTGTTTCTAAAACCTGTCTTTTGGACATAAATAATTTTCAGTGTTCATGCCAATACCAGGCTTTGGTATTCATAATTCTTTTTAGAGAAGGATTTTTAATAACTGTTTAAAGGCAATCGACTTACGTTATTGATCTGTTTTTGAGACTAGTGCATGACTTGGATGTAAAATCTGTCGTACATAAATGTGGATACATTTGGAGTTTCTTCTCCAGAGCTTAAGGAATTTCTTTCTAGAGTGTCCAATACTAAAACTTTCTTTTTGTTCTTTCCATTATCCAAGTCTCTTACAAAAGAAAGATTAACTTCATTATTTTCATTTTTCATTGCTTTTCACATGTTAAGATTTAGATGTTCTTCAAATATTTAAACACGTGTTCTTGTTTAGCCCGTGTACTGCCTCTTTTCTGTCACTTGAACTCTTTCTGTGCTCCTAATGTATAGGTTATACAGCTGCCTTAAATTAGTTCAAAGTAATATTGTTTCTTTTTTTTCCCCTGCCACATCTAAATATGCATTCTTTCCTGTTTTCCTTTGACTTGAAAAATCGGAAAGGCAGGGGGATAAGCCACTAGCACAATGTACCTATGACCCTCAAGTCAATCATTTTTTTCTCTTTTTCCCTCCTGCATCCTGTGGGCTTGTGAATCCTGCAGACTTGGGGAACATTGGGGTTTTTCTAAACCACTGGGCAGTGAGGGTAGTGGAAGAGCACCAGCTTGGCATCAAGGGCTTGGTATTACCACTCATTCATTAACCTTAGGTAAATCATTTGCATTGCTAAGTCTCAGAATGTGTTTAGAGGATCAGATGGAATATAGTCCAGTGGTTAAGAGTGACTTCTGAAGACAGACCTTAGTTTGAATGGTAGCTTACCCCTTGATGGCTTTGCTGCCTTTTAAGCAAGTTTCTTTGGTTTTCTAATCTTTAAAATGGTCACGACTGATGTCACAGGTTTGGTTGGAGATTCTGCAAGATAATTCACATCAGATGTTTAGCATAGAGCCTGGTATGTGACTAAATGCCCAGTAAATGTTAGCTATTAAGATAATACATGTGCAAGTGCTTTGTAAGTGATAAAGCAATACAACATGTTTCTAATATGAAGAGCAAAATGACAAGCATTATTTTAGTAAAAATGAAAGTACTGTCTGAGAGGGTTATATGCAGATGCACTCAAAGCTATCCTGACCAGTCAACATCCTTGTCCTTTCCAGAAAGTTGTCAGAGGTGAGTAGATGGAACCACAGATGTTCACTCAGTGCTGAAACATCTCCTTCCATTTACCTGTGATGTCATAGGGAACTCTGCTGGGCAGGGTCATTAAGACCAAAATTAACATCACATTATAACTTTTTAAAAATGATGCTCCAGAGCTTCAGGCACTTTACAGAATAATCTATAAAATGAAATAACAGTTGGATATAGTAGCTTCTTCCATTTAATTTTAAGAATAGCAACAGATTGACTCCAGAAATAACCATGCAGGAATTGGTAGCACAGATAAGGAGCTTTGCTGAAAGCACGGCTGTGATGTATGCTCATGAATACCTAATGAATCCATGTAAGACTACAAAACAACAGCAAGTCCCATCAAACAGTTAATCACTACTTTAAGCAACACAGTTAACATGTGCCTCCGGTCAGAAACAACCTTAGAATCAATAGGTTGCAGAGGAAACAGCTATGTAGGACAAGCCGGCTGTTTAGAATACCTTTGTTGCTTTCATATCCCTGGGTTGGATAATGAGTATGCCAATGCCTTGGGCCTGTACCACTGTCTTCTGTCTATAGACCTGAATGCAGCACTACCTGGGGCTAGGAGCTGCCTTCGGAAGGTTTATTAAAGTACATGTTTTAGCCTATAACTGGGTTTTCATGACCAGTTTTTTAGAATAATGTAGAGTAGAACTGAAATCATCACAGATAGGCAGGGTTATTGTTTGGTGAGAGCTGTGTGTGAGTATATGTGCATATACATTCAGACGTACGTACATATTGTACATTCACTTTGTACAAACATATATATTGGGTCAGAAGTCTTATTTCTGCCAAGAGGGCTGTAGGTACCTTGAAGCAGAAAACAGACTTACTCACTTCCTTCATACCCACGCCCAGTACCTCATCTGGTACTGTCGCATTGAAAGTACTCACTGATATTAGTTGACTATTCCCCATAAAACCGTGTTTAGTGGAGTGTGTATTTGTTAGTACAGATAAAACTTCATTAGGTAGCATGCCTCTTTCTTCTGAAGTAAAGAACAATGGCATATGGTCTTTCTTTTAAAAAATAAAAGGGCTGAGGCTGGGGCTCAGTGGCAGAATGAGGCACTGGGTTTGATCCTTGACACCGCATACA